AAAAAAAACTCCAAAGCAAAATTTAAAAATGATTGTAGTAATTTAACAGGAGAAAAAAAAACCCTCAGAAAAATAGCATCAGAAAAAAAAAGGGAGGACTGGCCTGCATGTGGCGGTACAAAATGGAATAAAGCCCGACATCAACATGGCCGAAATAGATGTCAGCTGTATATGGTATTGTGTAACGGATTTCATAAAATGGTATGAAGGCGGGTCGGTCAGGACTGGCCTGTATCGCCTTGAATAAGAAAAATAAGTGCCGAAATTGAAAACCAGTCTCAAGCCGATAGGAACCCAGATGCGGTCAGTTTCATTCAACCGAGTCCATCCGAACATGGGGGAAGGGAGATGCGACCAAACTACTAGTATATGGCGAATATAGAAGGCTTTGTCAAGACCGCCGATGGAGCGCATTCTGTAAGGGCATGATGACAACCAGTCTCGAGGCGGCAAGAACCCAGATGCGGTCTGTTACATTCATCAGAGTCCATCCGAGGATAGGGCAAAGGAGATGCGACCAGATTACTAGTATATGGCTAATATAGAAGGCTTCGCCAAGAGCATCGATGGAGCGCATTCAGTGAGGGCATCATGAAGATCAGTCTCGAGGCGATAGGAACCCAGATGCGGTCGGTTACATTAATCCGAGTCCAACCGAGGATGGGGGAAGGGAGGTGCGACCAAACTACTAGTATATGGCGAATACAGAAGGTTTCGCCAAGAGCGTCGATGTCGCGCATTCTGTGAGGGCACGATGCATGAACTAAAATAATTGGAATAATTAACTTTTCTGGTGAGGGATCTTAGGTAGCGAGACTGCTCATAAAGGAAGGAAACGTGAACAGATACGGAAATTGAATAGCGGCATGCTAAATTCCCGGTGGCCCTTTCTCAGTGTCATAGAAAAAGTTGTCTGCGAAGGATGAGGAAAATAAAAGTTAAATCGAGTCAGTATTCAGATAAAGGCGTAGCCTTCTCTTAAAGGTGTGTAGATTTTCTGAAGATCTTATATTTATTGGAAGGTTATTCCAGAGGAAAATATACCTGGAAGCGAAAAAAGGGAGCGCTTAGAGGTGGAGGACGCTGGAAGAGGTATAATTAGAGACGAGTTGCGAAGATTGTATGGGCGACTACTAGGGGTAAGTGTTGAAATCCGAGGAAAATTTGAACTATGATTAATGCGAAAGGGGAGACAGAGGCCCGCTTCTAGTCTTCGAACCCATAAAAATTTTAGGTTAATTAACTGACATCTATCTGAGTAGGAGGTATTGGGATGTTCCCTATCTAAAAGTTTTTTAGAAAAACGTCTTTGGACATTTTCAATTTTTAAACGCCTGGCCTCATTCATCAAACCAAAGAATGGACAACAATACTCGAGAATGGGAAGTACAAACATACGATAGAGCCTTAATTTAATTTCAGGAAGATAGAAATTGTAAGAAATAAAGCCACAAATCTGGGCAGCTTTGGCTGTAATTCTGTCAGCGTGCGGCGAGAGATCAAGATTACTAGTGTAGCTTAAACCTAAATCCTTGATGATGGTACATTCAGTCATAGGTGTGCCTTGAAAGACCACAGGTTGGGGTAGCCTATCAGGTCCAAAACACATATAACGACATTTAGACGGAGAGAATTCCATTAGCCATTTTGAGCTCCAAGCTGAGAGAGCAAGCAAGTCAGCATGGATTTGCTCCAGGCAATGAAGGCTCGTAGATTTTTGAAAGAATATACACATTTGAGATCATCGGCATAAATAAATAATTGATAATGTTCAACTGCGGCTGAAATATCATTTATGTAGAGCAAGAACAAAAGAGGACCTAAAACAGTACCTTGTAGGACACCGCTCACAATAGGACTTTCACTGGAAAGTGAAGATCCCACCAAAACCTTTTGTTTACGATTAGACAGGTATGACCTGAGAAAGTCTATTAGTGGACTGCGAATTCCCATAGCTTCCAATTTAACCATGAGTCTTTTATGTGGCACTTTATCAAAGGCTTTACTAAGATCAAAATAAATTACGACAACAGATAGGTGATCATTACGAAGAGAGGTAAGTAGATCGAGAAACGACAGATGACATGTTTCACAAGAGCGATCTGGTAAAAAACCATGTTGGGAAGGGCTAATAACTTGATTGGCTATGCAAAATTCGGTAATTTTTATGGCGATAATTTTTTCAAAGATTTTGGCGAGAGAGGGTGTTTTATGGACACCTCGATAGTTCTGTACGTCAGAACGACAGTGTCTGCACTGTCTGTATTCTACCATTTGACTCCGTGTTAACATAATTCTGACAGTACCCTCTGGAAAATTGATAAAACCTTTTACTATCAATGTCGCCCAGTTTGGTGACTCGCGAAATGCTAGCTAAGCAAAGATTCACGCGAAAGAAGGTTGTTCAGTTTTGTCCGCGTTTCCTTTCTGTGGCAATCTGTGAGTTCGTCCCAGCCTCTGCGTCTCCGTCATATCTCAGTTCGAGGCTCGGGTGTTCCACACTTCGGGCTTGTGTATGGCTGGCTGACGACGGCCAATAAGCCAGAAATGGTCATTCCAGTCTCCCTTGTCTTTGTCGGTAATACTATTCTTCCTATATATCCCAGTAAGTTCACGAGTACAGAACAAAATAAGACGAAAACATAGTCTTATAGCTAATTAAAGCAAATAAGGTCCAGTTTGTCTCCCACAAGTTATGTTACTTTCTACTTTGCCAGGAAAAAATGACACTGTTAATAAATCTTTTGCGCTGTGCAACATTGCAGTGTTCTTTCATTCTATGCTACGCCCGCCAATTTGATATATCGCCCTAAGAGCTTTTTCTAAGCGGTTCTTTGGGTCGTAATTCTTGTGAGCCAATAGACGTTGTCCTCAAAAGTCTGTTGTCGTCCAGACTTTTTTTGAACTTTACTGACATCGTTTTCGAGGAGGAACGGATCAGGAGTCGTTTAATTTCACGACCGGGGGTGAACATCGTAACTGTGAAAGCATATGCTTTCACAGAGCTAGTGTCTCGATAAATAGCCACCATCCGTGTATCTGCTCGATATCTATTGCTACTAGGGATATCTGCCTCGGAACATGTCCGACCGGGTCGATACTCGAGCACATTCCAACATTGCTGGCTTAAGCTTTAAAAATTCCCATGTGCATAAACTAGTGTCAATAACGCGCGGAGGAGTACTGTTACATTAGATTTATATTGGCAACTACGGTTGTCATCAGGGACAGCCGTACCCATCTAATGATCTGCTTAGCGTCGCAACTTAGTGGGCAATAAAATACAGTTTGAGAGTAAGGCCTACAAAGAACGAAGACGCAGTCTGAGGCTGCAAGCTCTTGACATCGATGGTCAAAGCGGGGGCAGTCACTAAACGCGAGCTAACCGGACATTATGGGGGGAGGAGTGAAATTTGTGAGAAATTCGAATTTGTTTTCAAAAGGGCCACGCGCTTAGGCGTTAGGGGGGAATTCGGTCGTTGGTCGTTACTATTTTGCAAATCCAGACGCACTGTTGACCAGCACTCGTTGATCGAAATTCCTCGGTTTTACCACCCGGGACCACTGAAGGATCTTCGTGCCCATCTTCGTACACGGTTTTTTAGAATAAGACAGGGTCACAGACAACTAACTACGTCTGTTTACGTTTTCTTCGAATAAGAGGTATGTAGCCGACAAGACCTCCAGCTTCAGCTTATGGTTAGCCGTATCTTTGTCAAAAGACACTGCTGTGGATATGAATATAAAGCTGCAAGATGGCACCATCACGCGCGGGCGCAATACAGAATGCAGAGCGAATGTGCACTGTTTTAACTGAGAGGGAGCTGATAGGGTACTACGGAAACCGGATTCCACGGCAGGCCCATCAAATGTTCTGGCTTAGTTAACCTAACATGTTTGCCGAGGTGCTCTTACCGATCGTGCGTAGGAGTGACAGGATGGCTACACTTTTTCCAGCGCGCGACCGTTGGTCAGTCAGAACACTATAAGCGTAACATCTGTTTATTAGACGCAATAAGCCGGCGGGCATTGGTAAGACACGACAGTACTGGTAGATTATTTTTGTGTATTACGGTGTATTATGTAGACGTTGGATCAGAGAAGCAATGTTAATGGGCAAGAAGATTGCTTAGATTTGGATAACGTAATGAGGAAGCTGAGAATTTTGAGCAGCTTCCGGGAAGTGAGATCTCCAATAAAATGTTCTGCGGGAAGAATAAGTTGCTAGTCTGGGCAGCGGTGGCTAATCTTCCTGCTTCTGGGTCGGTCCTGCGCGCAGTGCGTCGGTTTTTAGCATTCTTACGTGTATGTCGACGTCGTCTGAACGAAAAGGACATACAATTAAGGCGTCCTATTCATGTTACACTTCTAAAGGGAGTCCATAGGAAGACAAGGATGGGGCAGACAGTGCATGTGCTGTGTCTCTTTTCATATGGAGTAGATAGTGGAGGATGGAGCCCACCTTCTGACGCCTGGATGGAAGGCTGTGCCTGAAGGCCAGAGGGGGAGGTGTTCATGATGCAACTCACACGCCCCATCTACCAAAGCGATTTGTCCCGTTTCCCATGTGGCGTTCCACCTGGATGATTGGAAGGAATGGTCTTACTACGTAAAACAGGCGTGTAGTTCGTGGAGAAACTGCATTATTGGGGAATTCCATTTGTTTCCGCTAACGGCCGACAGCTCGCCATATGGAAGACATTTGGGGCCATGTCGATTAAGTGAAGGAAGCGAATAACCTACTTGGTCTTCATAGCGTGGGACAGTATTGCCCTTGGTTGTATCAACAGGATGGTTTACTCATGCATGGCGAGTTCTGAAGGCGCCAGGGAGAAGGAGCACTGATATGTTATATTAAAGCTGTTACGAAAGTTATGTATGGGTGTTTGTGTTCAACATCATTCAGTACCAGCGTCGAGTTCTTTGCTGCCTTCCCACGTTAGGACACCGAGTTACCTGACTGAACCGTTTGTTCATTAATAATTATGACTACGAGTCACCCTCAGTTGTAATACATGTTACCTACCATCCTATGTTACGTTATTGCCCTATCCATTGCTGTATGTCTGTCCGTCGAACAAACGTCTACTTATTACTTTGAGCTCTCGGACTTTTGTAACATGAAAGTTGGGAGGGCCTTCGTGCTGTACCCGTTTATCTGTATTTTGTTGGATGCGGCATAAAATCTGCCCTAGGAAGTAACATTATGCAACTCCATCATGGAGGGACATTTTAGGTTAGATAACATGCTCTGCGGTCGCGTGTACAAAAATGCCAAATGCGTAGGAAGTATTAAGTTCGCTTTCATACGTGGGATATTTCCCCAAGTTATCAGTAATTCACTGTATCGAACACCCTTCACAGCCCATCGAAGACGACTTCTGATTTAACCGTTATAAAACATTCCAAGGACTTTTTTCTCTGAGATTCACGAAACTTGTTAGACTTGAGTCCACTCCAAGAAATCCATTTTGGTTTATGTTTGTTATATCGGTACGGCTCTGGCTGTGCCTGATCTAGCCGGCCACGATGATGTCGCGATTTGTGCATGACGATTTCTGACAACAGGTCGGGGAAACTAGACTCACTTTCTTCTCCAGTGATGGGTACCGAATACCGAAGGTCCAAAGACCATCTCCGTGTCTCGGTGGACTGCACTGGGCCAGGCTTCGATGCCTGCAGTTTGGCCGCGGCGCCCGATCAAGGGCAGCAAGACTGAAGTCCTGGGCCGGCCAACGGAGAGCTTGCCCCAATTTTTTCAATTGCCATTATTGAATAGTTTGGAATATGTTTGCGATGTAGTCGCAATGAAAATTCTGCTATATAATTGTCTACGGTTTCTTTCAACTCAGTGCTATATTAAACCACTGTTTCCAATGATTCGACGAGCGTCCCGACAGACGCGGAAAAGACCGGCAAGAGCCAAGGACATTGAGGACTTGGCAACTCAGCCCCCAAAAGCCGCTCGGTGGGAACCTCCCAGATGGCGTGAAACTTGGGAGAACATAAACCGAATGAGGGCCGGCCGTGACGCCCCTGTTGATACAATGGGATGTGACAAACTTGCTAAGGAGAATGAAGATCCCAAAACATTCCGGCTTCAAATTTTGCTGTCTCTGATGCTCTCAAGTCAGACTAAGGATGAGGTTACGGCAGCAGCTATGAGACGACTTACGGACCATGGCTGTAATCTGAAGAACCTCTTGACTATGTCCGAGGAAGAACTGCGAGACATCATTCAGCCTGTTGGTTTCCACAGGGTATCATACGTTCACATTGTAAATGAGCGCTTTTTTTAGCAAAAGGCAAAGTTCATAAAGAAGACCTGCGAAATACTACACAAGGACTATGCTGATGATATCCCAGATACGGTGGAGAAATTAATGACCCTTCCAGGTTTGGTCTTTATTCTATCGTGTCATAGTAAATTGGCCTAGGTGTGGGACCGAAAATGGCGCACTTGGCAATGCGTTGTGCATGGAAGGTCGTTTCTGGTATTGGAGTGGACACGCACGTTCATAGGATATCAAACAGGCTGCGGTGGGTTCCAAAGCCGACAAAGACTCCGGAACAAACTCGACTTGCCCTCGAGGCCTGGCTTCCAAGGTGTTTTTCTATGATTTTTGCTTGGAAAGGAAGACGTTTTCCTATGCTCTCCAGATCCCTCCAACGCAAGTTTGGTGTGCTCGAACAGGTCTTTTAGGGCAGTTTTTACTTTCTATCTTCAATAGACGCGTCAGTAGTTGCCTGCCGGTCGTCACGATACAGCTTCAGGGTCAGTTCTAGCGGATGGAGAGTACAAACAAACTTGCATTATCGTACGGACCGTTTGAATCACTTTTGGGCCTTTCGTGCGCAGTCGCTCAGTTACATGCTCTAATGCCTCCTTTTATGTTTCATCGTTGCAGGGATTACTGGAATGAAATCAACAGTCTCCTTGTGGGCTTTGGGCAACAGACCTGTCTGCCAGTTCGTCCGAAGTGCTCTCAATGCATCAACCAGCCCATTTGTCCCTTTGCAAAGAGCCTTAAGAAATGAGCTTTGAGCCACTGGCCCCACCACTCTGAGCTGACAGCCACACAGAAGATTATTTTTTTATTTTATAAAATTTCAACCGCCCATTTGCCTTTTGTGTCTTTCCGTCCAGTTTGACTGCGGATATGTGTTTGTGAATAAGGACAGCAACCAAAATTGTCCCATGCTTATGCTTTTAAGTCAACAGGATTGAAATCTAATACTGCAAATTTCATGCTGGGCGAAGTCAAGCCTTTTATTTTTTAACATCTGCTTTACGTACGTGGAATTAGAACAGCTTCATTGAGGATGTCAGATTGTTGACCAGTTAGGACAACCTAAACGGGGATGAACGAAGGCGGTGTTTGTTTGTACCATGGCAAAGTGACACTTTACTCAGTCTCTTTTGAGCCCGATCCGAGGGCGAGGGAGGCAAATCGTGAGAAAGATACTTCCGTATCTTATTTATCAGTTTTCCTGGACCATGCATCACCAGAAAACTGACAAACTTCAAAGTGGGCGGATCGGTGGCTCCGGCAAGGCGATGGTCCCATAGCTAACCATAGTCTCTGGGATGGGATGTTCTGAATCCGTGCCTACTTATCAGTGGCGTTGTGGATCGTGCCGTTTGTTAAAATAAAAGGAAAGTGCAATCCTTATCAACGCCCATTTTCTGGCTGCGGACTTAGTGGGCCACTTTTGGCGGCGGATGTTTCTCCTCCCTCTTACCGCGTCTGGGTGAAGGACGGACACACGACAGACTCTGGGCAGTGTTTTTGTTAACTGCGGTCTATTCAACAGGCATTTGACTTTTGGCAGGCGAGAGGTGTCTGCATCCCTGCGAATCGGAAGGTACTCCTACAGTGAACGATCGATCTAATGAAATGTTGGCTGAAATTCTGAAATGCGTTTTCGATTGGGAAGGGTTACTTAGGCGCGGTTGCAATACTGTCCTATAATCTTTCGGACTCAACGGGATGTCAGCTTTCGAATACACTGCTTTTTAATCCCTTGTAGAAATTGTACTTGGAAAGAAATGACTACTTAGGTAGCATGCATTTTTCATGTTGGTTTTCAATGGTCTTGCAAATTCAAATGTATTTTATAGAAACCGTGACCAAAAATATTCTTTCTTTCATTCGTTTGATAGAAAACCACGTCATCTCCATATTTTATACTCGAAGAAGGAGTAAAATTGGGTTTTTAGAAAGTTTTCTAATTGCCGAATAATTTGGAGCCTGATCGGTCGTGGCATTAGCGCTTAGTGACTTCAGTCGTCAAGATGCATGCGCGCCGCGTAAATAAAATCACATATTTTTCTACGCCATTAAAATGATATCATGTAAAGTTCATGAAATTTTACAATGTTTGCGGACTATGTTGTACATTTCATGAGGAGCAGTGGTAGACGGATAGGTACAAAGTTGTATGAATGGACATTGCACGGTCTTTAAAAATTCCACAATTAAAAACTCTTTTAAAACCTCGTGTTACTCCTTCGAGTATAAAATATGAAGATGACATTTGAATTTTGGTGGGCGAGAGCAGTCCATTTCCCTGCGAATCGGAAGATACCTCTACTTACTCACCTTACACGAGACTTTTTGGTTCATCAGCCCTGTGCACTCCATACATTTGAGCAGCTAGCAATGCAACCTGGCCTGTGGACCTTTAAATTGATCCGATACTTTTTACCTTCGATGGACAACTTTCGGCTTCAAAGTGGAGTGGTGATAACTTTGCCACCTGATGCTGAATTCCCTCCAATGTCTGTTGCTGCTGTCTCACTGATGCTGTATCCTGGTAACTATGGCATATTTTGAAGAAAAGAGAGTTCTCTTATTAACTTCCGAATTAAAAACTGGCGAAATCGGTGCTGTTGACTTAAGCTCTCTATCTCTTCCCTCTGTAGTATGTGCGATTGTTTTTCAACATTTCGTAATAAGCCTCTTCTTGGAATAGTCTCGGCGGATGGTAATAGACGAACTACCCGTAAGCGCGCTCGACTGCAAATTAGGCCTGTGCTCGCTAGGAGGTGCCAAATGCACTGCGTATGCATGAACACATGTAAATCCACATGGGTAGTGGGCCCGAGGGGAAAGTCAATAAATTGGGAATAAGGTTAGGAAAGCCTCGACAGACATGGACCTGGCTGGCCACAAGTTTGGACAAGGTGTTGCAGCATATATCGTGGAATAGGGAGGGCCAAGGGTAAATACAGTGGCCGTTACTGGCTTATCAGTTTACAAGGCAGTTCTAGGAGTGACTCAGGCTACCGTTTACTGGGCCGGGCCACATGCGGCTTCCTCGACTTCTGGGAGGCGTTACCTACTTTTATAATTAAACGAAGTTGATAAGACCTCAGCACCAACTAGTTAGTGTCCTTCCTAACACAACGCTTTGTTCCTTGACAAATTTGTCGTTCGTGGAGTTGTCCGCCATGAGTTGTTTAACTGCACTCCCAACACAGCAGGTAAAACCGAGACCCGTGCTTGGCCGGTTTCTGTTGTAATACGCAATGTGGAGGGCTGCAGTCGATTTGTGCGACCCTCGGCATTCCGTAACACAATTCCGGTTTCCAGATTGAACCTTTTTAATTTCGTCTGAGATTACTGAACAATCTCGAAAGAAAGTATGTGATAGTTTACTCCCGTGGTCTTCGGCGGAACCGCCTATTCAAAGTTGTCCAAAGCGAATCCAGTTTTGAGTCGTTTCCCCTCTCCCTCTCTTATTCTCTTCGTCTGTCCATCTCCATCTTCCCCTGCCGCCCCAAGCGTCATACTGTTTCGTCGTTCCCTTTGCGCCACTGCTATTTACACTTTAGCAGGTGTGAGGTCGCTGCGCTTCCAGTGGTGGCGAGCAGTCATGCCACCGACCCGTTGTGTATCTCACGCGCTAGCCACGCCTACTCCGAATCGTGTTTGTATACCTAGCAGAGGAGCACCATTTCGCACTACGCTACGGACGTACCGTTTTACCTTTGCTCGGGGCTTTCGACTTCCAAGGACACTTCAGTCAGGAACTACTTGAAGTTCCGGGTCACGTCGATGCAAGTCTTATTAGGTTGGAATATTTAGTATAAAAAGTTCTTTGCTAGGCCGAAGGCGGTGTGGGTGAGTTTGCAGTCAGGAAAAACTATGGGGGGGGGACTAAAGTTTCGGCTTGAGCACGTATTGTACGTAGAGGAAGTGAATTCGATGCAGGGCTGAGTAAGGGCCCAGGCAAAGTGCAGTCAAAGACTGGATTTTAATGCTATACTTGTGAAATTGTATTAAGATGTCAGACTGCAGGGGAAAGTGCCTACATGGGAAGGAATTGTCTCTCTATCTATCTTTTCTTAATCGTGATCCGTCGGGCGCGGGCGGGTGCAGGACTCTGTTCCCACTAAGTGCGATTTTCACAGTAATAAAAAGATGTTTAAGTAGGCGAAGAATGAGCGCTGCGAATGTTCAGATCGAAAGCGCGCTACACTTGTGTAAGCCACATCGGACCAATTTTTCTCGACAGATCGAATCCCTCTTGCTACTCCCTTCTGATAAATGGGACTTGACAGGATACGTAGCTTCCTTGGCTGTCGTAGCATTGGATCTGGACGTACGACAGGCGGTGCGCCAACCGACCACTATGGTACCTGCTGTAGTAATGGGTTCTTACGTGGAAACCACTAGAGGACGTAGTTGAGGTTAAAAAATTCGCATTTAGTGTTTGAACTAACTACTTTCAGTGAAGAGTAAGCCGTGCAAAGATTCAGACCAAGGGCACGAAGTATCTTGGAGTTGTGTCGTGGTCCACCATGTATGATGGGCCAAAAGTTGCATTAGTATATGCGCAGGAAGATCTCGGTGCCCCAACCTGTGTGCACACTAATATGGCCACGACCTCTGCGTTTTATTGATGCTGTCAAGCCGCTATTTCCAAAGGCCTTTGTCTGCAAAGCCGTCAAATTGTATGATGGCATACAGAGAGTGTTCGGCTGACGTGGGCTGACTAAGAGGGTGCTGCGCCGAGTACACTGCATTTCCGTCCAGCATAAATTAGGCGGCAACGGCTTAAAGCAAGGTAGATCTACGGTGAGTGACCGATCTCATGAAATGTTGGCTAAAATTCTGAAATGCGTTTTAGATTAGGAAGGATTACTTAGGGGCGTTTGTGATATTTATTACCTTGGGGCATAATCGTATAATATTTCGAACTCGGGGGATGTCGGCTTTTGAGCACACTGCTTGGCAAACTCCTGTAAGGAGAGTACTAGACAAAAGATGACTATTTACGTAGCGTGCACTTTTCTCATTGGGTTTCGATGGTTTGCCCATTCAAATATATTTTATAGAAACAGAGAACAAAAATATGCTTTATTTCAGTCGGTTGATAGAGAATTACGTAGTCTTTATACTTTATACTCAAAGAGGGAGTATAATTAGGTTTCAAAAAGTTCCTAATTATGCGATTTTTTAAGACCGCGCAGTGTCCATTCATACAGAACTATGCGTGTCCTTTTACCACTGTTCCTCATAAAGTATACAACATAGGCCTCATATATTGCAAAATTTTATGGAGCGTATATCGCATCTTTTCAAAAGGCATGGAAGAATAAGTGATTTTCTTTACGCGGAGTTCATGCACCTTGTCGACTGAAATCACTAAGCGCTAATGCAACGACTGATCAGGCTCGCAATTATTTGGCCATTGGAAAACTCTTTTAAAAACAATTCATACTCCCTCTTAGAGTATAAAATATAAAGATTACGCGATTCTCTATCAACCGACTGAAAGAAAGCACAATTTGTTCGTAGTTTCTATAAAATATATTCGACTTTGCAAGACCATCGGAAATCACTGAGAAAATGCATGCTACTTAAGTAGTCATTTTTTACTGGGTACTCTTCCTACAGGAGTTTGCCAAGCAGTGTATTCCAAGGCCGACATCTCCCCGATTCCGAAATATTATCGGATTATACCGCAAGATAATAAATATCAAAACTGCCCCTAAGTAATCCTTCCTAATCTAAAACGCATTTCAGAATTTCAGTCAACATTTCATGAGATCGGCCACTCACTGTAGGTGATAATTAATGCGAGTGCACATACTGGCTGGGTGAACATTTTCGAGGGCAGTCAGCTAAGGCCATTAAGGAAGCAGCTTGGGATGCTGCACCACCGCTGCCGTCATTTAAGTTTAGAACACGACGATATGCAAGTGTAACTGTGACCCGTTAAAATGGTGGATGCGCTTTACGCACGCAGCGCTCATAGTCCGATGACTTCGATGCACATACAGTTGAGCAGAACTGAGGCCGATACATGCATTTCGCCTCCATGCCTTCCCTCCTTTTTCGTCGCCTACAACAGTACCCTGCTGTGCATGCCATACTCCATCAGAGCCAACCGAGATCGGCGCCAGCCAAAACCCCGGCGTCCTTCTAGACAGCAGACATCGGCAAAAGGATCTCGAAGTCCGAATTCCGCCACACAACTGTACTTACAAAAACGCCACAAACCCACCGGCACCCAAAACATGCCGACGGAAGCACAATGAAATAAACCATCTATTTCATAACAGATAATAAAGTAGTCATGCTCACTCGACCTTTTCGATGCTTGGACCTCTGCTGCCGGCACCAGCTCCAGGCATATACCACCGGCTTGGTACATCTTCGTTATGATCGGATTGCACACCGACTCCAACTCCTTCTGCCGGTGCTCATACTCCTCCTTATCTGCCTGCTGGTTCCCATACAACCACTTGATCGTCTTCTCACACTTCTCAACTATCTTCTTCCTATCCTCTTCCGGTATCTTCTCCTTCACCTTCTCCTCCTCCTCCACTGTCGACTTCATCGAGAACGCATAACTCTCCAGCGCATTCTTCGCCGAAATTCCTTCACGCTGGCCCACATCCTCCGCTCGGAACTTCTCAGTATCATTCACCATCCTCTCTATCTCCTCCTTCGGCAGGCGACCCTTGTCATTCGTGATGGTGATCGTGTTCTGTTTGTTCGTCGACTTGTCCGTTGCAGAAAGTCCTACAGAAAGTGCCACAAGATCAAATAGCTCATACATTAGTATTTTTGGTGGCTAGGACGTTAGGGTTACGGGATACCTCAAAACTGATGAATCTGTCTTGTCGTCTCTGTCCTCTTTGCATTACCTCCTCCGAGACCTTGAATTTAGAGACATCCCCATCCAGACAGGACTTTTGAGGCAGCATCTTTACGTTAGTGGATTTCGGTTTTTCCAAAGTCGGACACGCCTGATTCATCACAGATTTAGTGTCATGGTTGGTCAATCAGCACTCACGGATTCGACATCTACTTTCATACAGAGGAAGTAGGCATAGATGGCTGTTGTAACGGCATTATCGATTACCAATAGGACCTCGTGTGTCGATAGCACGGAGGCTTTGCCTGCACCAACTGGAATGTGAATTCCCGACCCCACGGCCCGAAACAAATGTCTCAGACTACCCAGTTCAATAGCGAATGCGTTCAGACTCGGGTCAGGTTACATGCGCTTGATTTTATTGCCAGAATCGCATTGGACACTAGACAGAAGTTAAGCATACGCACCACTGGGGGGAGGGGTGTCGGCAGAGATCCGGATAGACTTGTCGCGGTAGTTTAAGCCATACGAAGGCCCTAGCCACTAAAAGCCTCACATCCGCAAGCGGTATTTGATGCCAGTTGAAAAGATACTGTATTCTTTAGGGAAGCATTGGAGAACAGGCTGGAATAAGTTGGCAGCCGGGTGAGAACAAGTCTGGCGCCGTGGAATCGGTGTCCCGAGTTGCAGTGGGGAATGCGTGACAGCGCCTTGAACGAAAGCACGCCTAAGTCGGTCTTCAAAATGATTGGCCGGCTTGGACAACCCCGTAGAGATAGCTCCGATCTATGTAAGGGGTGGCTCCGGTCTCACATAGCTGGGAGGGCCATTAAGGCCACATTGGGAAGGGGCCATTTCAGCCTGACCCTTTGTCTTGAGAAGCTCCGAGTTAACACGTCAGTGGGTAAACTTCCAATAAACGACCCTTGGAGCGTCGGGATAGATTCAAGGACTTCAGATATTTTGTTGTGGAGAATGCGCTGATGTGTCGTTAGAGTGGATTCTCCTGTGTCGGTCCCACCTTCTCTTCCCTATCCAGTGTAGGTGGTTGGTTGTACTCAAGCCCTTACCCTGCTGTCGTGGGTTCGAATCCCACCGAGGTCGCCGAGTTTTTCCCAATTGGGTCAAATGAATCATTCAAATTCGTCAAAACATCAACTACCGAAGGTAATGATTAAGGTTCCTATTGCTAGTGGCATTATCGGTCGTACTGCTAGCATTATCGAATTGAAGGACAGTCCAGAGGCGTCACCATAATGAACGGAATGCACTGAGCTGGCAGTTTAGGAAAGAACTCCTGGAATAGAAGCTCCGATGGCTTTCTGTGTGTCCAAGCCTTACAGTGTTGGATTATGCGAAATGTGGATGAATCACGGAGATATTAGGAAGAAAAGCCCGTCCTCCGAGGCACGTGAACGAACGAAAGCAAGACTGAGCTACCTTGGTGTTCCTTATGAAGTAGGGTAGTAGTCCATTGGAGGAGAGACCTAATACGAGCCCTAATTGTGTCAGAAATGACTAAGAGCTCTCTGCTCGCCGATCGATCGCATAAACCAAGCAGTTACAATCATTCCTCTTGTGGTCGGTGAGACCGAAGAGAACTTAAGATTGTTACCATACAACTTTGAAATTCACGAGGTGAAGCCTTTTTGGCAGAAAAAAGTAAGACATGGTTTGGTAGCTCCATCTGGAAAAAATAATACAAATGTTTGACCTATCTACATGCTCTTAAGTAGACGTGATTTCGTCATAAGGTTCTGGGGTTAGGGTTTAGGATTAGGGTTTGGGGTCAGGTTTAGGGTTTGGGGTTCGGGCTTAGAGTTAGGGTTAGGGTTTAGGATCAAGGTTTGCGGCTAGGGTTTAGGGTTAGGTTTTAGGGTTTAGGATTCGGGTTTCGGGTAATGTTTTATGTTTTGTGGTTAGGCTTTAGAATTCGGGTCTAGGGTTAGTGTTCGGGGTTAGGGTTTAGGATTGGGATTTATGATTATGGTTAGGGTTCATTGTTTACGTTTAGGCGTGGGGTTTAGGATTAAGGTTAGGTTTAGGGTTGGGGTTTAGGTTTACGGTTAGTGTTTAGGGCTTCTTTAGCCCTTGGGTGTTAACTTCACGTGCTGTCAAGATCATTTCCTTTACCGCCACGCCCTGACCTACCGCAGGTCGCCCTACTGTTTGAGGTCGCCTTCGATCCTAGGCCCGTACGTCCACTTTTCTTGTGTGTGTTTTATAGGAGGGGAGAATTTTAGTTTACTAGTCTTTGTATCTCATCCAGCCGTGTGATTTTTATCCAAGTCGATGAGTGTAACCAATAGTTCAGAATGCTTTACAGCCCGCTTTGGTTGACGTTACGAAATGTTCTAATCACTTTTCATACAGTAGGTACTCTTCTTCGGTTCTTTCTGGTCTCCCCCCCCCCAGTTTTCTTGCGATCCCCACCACCTGCTCGGTTAACCTGCATACCTACCCTTGCTTAGGTTGCGTTGCGTTTTGTGTGGACCAGGGGGTGTGGTGGAACGCCAAGGTGAGGATCCGTCCGAGCCATCCACCTGCGGCCCCCCTCGTCTCCGGTCTTCTTGACTCTGTCTTGACACCGGGCTCGGGCGAGGGAGGAGGAGAGAGTGTAGGTAGATGCTACGCAAGTCTACCGGCACTATAAACCCCTGCGTAAGTCACCGTCCCTGCTCCCATTGCTGCTGCAACTTTGGAGCACACGGTGGACATCATCGAAACCGATGGTCGAACTGTCAGTTTGCGTTGCCCTTGCCCTTACGGTTAGCAGCTAGCTAAACTTTTTACTTGGCAGCTTACTTACCGCAGTTCGCTCTGTGTGTTCGCAGGGTGGCGTTCCGACGCCTCCGTTAGACGGTCGGCAGACCTTGAGCTTTGGCATGCCCCTACGTTAGCTTACACATGAACCGCTTTCCGGTCATGCTGGTTTACACGGTTGGTGGTGTACGAGCAGTGCAATGCGGGTGGATACTGTTCCGCTAGCGAGGCTTAGTGGTGCACCCGTTCTCACGGTCCATCGCTTCACTTTCGACGTATCTGGCTAGGCAATTTAGCTGCGGTGCGCGTTAACTCCGGTTACGGCTTACTTCACATCCTACTGCAGTCAGTGATCGATTTTAGCTACGAGTTTCCCGTTGAACCTTCGCGGCTGCTGCGTGGGCGCCCCCTTCCCCAACATCCATCCCTTTTCTGCGGCCGTTATATGGCTGTATTTTCACATACCCGTACACGGTCGTCGCCGCAAGACTGGCCTACTTGTGGCCGCATCCGCTTACACTCCGCTCATCCATAAGACAGTGGTGCACTCTCGGACGTTCGTATGCTTCGTTCCTACGTTTGGGTTCGGCTTTCACTACGTTCCCATTCATTGATCGCGCCCACTTGGACGTAAGTCAGCACAGTTGGCAGGTGCTTGTAATTTCACACGGAATGGGTATAAAGTATATTTTCTGGCGACCAACGCGTCCATTTCGTTCTTCACCTTCGAAATGCTTTACAGGTGGTCACGGCCTTACCACCATTTGCCTGTTGGCGTCCACAGAACACACGGGAAAGACAGGAGTCATTCATAGAAGAGGAAAATTTTCGGTATTGAAATATTAGATGGTTGACATGATTGGCGCTTGCATTTCCGGGACTAGCGTCTGTTTCCCAGGGGTGTACCGCGTCCGTTGCGTATTGCGTCCACGGTATCCTACGGTGTTAAAGAGATCAGCTAAGTTGTTCATTATCATGAAAATGGATTACCTAACCTGTGCAGGCATTGCGGGGTATCTGGGCTGCATGGCTGGCTGTCCGCCACCTGGTAAACGTCCGTTACGTGCTTCAGGAAGAATTCCCAGGCGTCCGGCCGGTTGTCGGCTTTTAGGCCAAACCATAACCTATGCTGGGCTTCATCTAGGTGGCTCTATATGTTCCTCCAGGTATTGCACCTTTCTCCCGCAGTTTTCGCTCTAACCTACTCCAGTGGGCTTCAATGCCATAAGTGTTCTTCCCGCTGTCCGGGTCGTCAAAATTGACAGAGCGATTTAAATTCGAACGTGTATATCCTACTTCGGACAGTTGGGAATACGCTTTCCATTGGTCCGTGATAATTATGCTACCCGATGCGACCCACTCGGTTATCACCGCCTTCATGGACAGCCAACTTCGGTCGTTGACCTGTTCGAACAGCACCTTCTTTCGTGCCGTATCGTACATTCAAGTTATCCACTTCTGTTGCCTTAACGGGTAACCATGGTCTCGTCGACTTGAACTTCAACTGCTGGTCAGCCTAGTTGCTTGACTTCCTTCAGTAGCGTCCTGGTGCAGACATCCCACCAGATTCTGTACCATTCCACCGCCGAACTGCGATTAATGCCGACAGACGTCGCGCACCTAACCATTCCGCTGCCCTCCAGGAAGGCCAGACAGGTCTTCATTGTCATCGTTAACGGCAGGTGGCTCCACCCAAAGACGGAGTCTGTCCGAATGGCCTTCTTGGTTCTACAGCGGCCACATCTGGAAAGCGGTTAATCCGGAGGTCGGATTTGGTTTCGTAGCCCCACCTGGGGGAACCATTCTCCAATTGCCTGTATTACGGAACCGGTGGTAAGAGGGGTTTTATGGGTGGAGCCTTAGAACGCGCAGACAGCGAAGTTAAGTTAAGGAAGGAAGAAATAGCGGATGGTAAGCAGCACGCGGAACTTTAAATTGATGCAAATTAACAGCAAAATAGACAAAGGGCTAATATAAAGTGAACAGGCTGTGGAAAATTCGTGGACAACTGAGGATAGGCCGAAACACTGAACCTCACTTGGTAACCAATCAAAAGTAAAGAGAAGTTATCAAGGTCAGCCCGCGAAGTGTGCGTTAAGTCAATGTCCGAAACCATGATGACGGCCACTGGAGGATGCGATTCAGGGTGCTATACACGGCGGAGTACTACAGAATCGGTAGGTGGGAGTTGGGGTTAGGGGTTATGGTTAGGGTTAAGGGTCAGGGTTAGGGGTTAGGGCGACTATTTCTCAACCACTCAAAGTACAACCACGCACTCCCAATAGCGTTTCTTTTGCATACAACTATTTGACCTCGTCGACTGTGCGTTCCCCGGCACCACCTGTAAAAACCCCTATTACCACCGGTCCCGTATTACAGGTGGTTATGGTTTGTGTACTTCAGGTGGGGCTACATAACCACATCTGATCTTTCTTCTCCCCGCCCCCCTCATACCACGCCCACCCGCATGTCTGGTCAATAGTCCTTGTTTTTTTATTTACGTCTCGCGTTGGATTCTCCTAGACAGGTTTGGTATTGAACGGTTAAATAAGGGGTTCCGAAATTCTGTCATCATTAGCTTCTGCGTTTTTCGACGTCTTTGCCCCCGATCAAATTCATTCGGGGAAAACAGTGCTTCAGCTATCAGTTTCATTCGACTGGGCATGCATGTAATTGCACAATTTCTATGTATATAAAAATTGAACTGTTTTTTGTGTGTAATGTGAAATCTCCGAAAGCACTGCACCGATTGCGCTGAAATTTTGACACAACCTTGCGTGCACATAGAGCCGGGTTTTTTTTATGTCTGCCATCATAATTATACCGATGGCACACCTGTGATGGGTGAAAAACATGACTTGTTCTGGCATAACAACGTCATCTGCTGACGCTCCGGTCTGCGGCCACTTGACCGGTAGCCACTTGGACACACGTGCGCCCCCGAGCCACATCGCCCGACATCCGCTCAAACACACGTGAGTCCTGACGGTCGCACCCCCCTCCCCTGCAGACGCTTGAACATCTCTCTCCCCTTCCCTGGGCCGATGCAATATGGGCTGCTAGGCAAACCACTCCTGGGGCAAAAAACACGCAACTCTTGGACGCCACTTGAACTCGCCCCACAACCCGCATTAATGGAATTGTCACCGCTTTCTCGTATGCATGAGTATGCTCTAGATGCAATTGCTTACGTTCGTCAGTACGGGCGCCCAGACCTATTCCCATGCAGTCCCGCTTGGGGTGATATTTGACAGCTTATACTTCCTGGGCAACCGCCAGTGGATAGGCATAACATCACAGCACGTGTTTTAAGACAGAAGCTCCAATCGCTGACGAAGTTCATGATGAAACACGAGGTGTTTGAATCAGTGCGCTGCTGGACGTACTCGGTGGAATGGCAGAAGAGGGGACACGCACATATCTTGATCTGGATTTATAACAAGATCACCTCCGGCGAAATCGACGACGTAACATGCGCTGAATTACCTGACGCTGACGTCGAAAAAGACCTGAACAAAGTTGTGGCGGAGAATATGATACATGGACCTTGTGGTACACTGAATCCCCGTTCCCCTTGCATGATAAGAGGAAAACGCTCTAAGAGATATCCTCGGGCATTCGTATGCAACCCAGTGACAGGAAACGATGGATATCCCTTATACAGAAGACGATCAACAGAAGATGACGGCAAATTGGCAATCGGTGCCACACATGTAGATAACCGTTGGGTTGTTCCATATTCGTCTTTGCTTTTAAAAGCATACAAACCGCACATAAACGTGGAATACTGTGATTCTATGAAATCAATTAAATGCATTTGTAGGTATGTGAAAAAAGGCGACGACATGGTCGTTTTTGGCCTGTAACCCGAAAGGAGAGAAAGGAATGCGGACATATAACCCGATGAAATCGCGCGGTATCGGGCTGGAAGATACGTCATCAGCAACGAAGCCGCATGGCGAATTCTTTCATTTCCCATACATGAACAAAGTTCCGCTGTTGTTCACTTGGCGGTACACTCAGGGAATAGGCAACGTGTTTACTTTACAGCTGAAAATGTGTAACAGGTAGTCTTTAATCCACCGGCAACAACATTAACTGCTTTCTTCACGTTAGGCCATACTGACGCGTTTGTGAAAACACTGCTGTATTCGGAAGTGCCTACTTATTACACATTGAATGCGTGTAGAAAATCTTTCGCACGACTAAGGCGAGGAGAGCGAGTCGACAGACACCCAGGCGTATTCAAAGGAACTGCGATAGGTAGACTGTAAACCGTGCATCCCAACCAGGACGAATGTTTCTTCCTTCGCATGCTGCTGGTGAATGTACCCGGTTCAACGTCTTTCCGGCAACGGCGTTACGCATGCCACTTTCCGCAGTGCATGTCAGGCTCTTAATTTATTGGATAACGACCGACACTGGGATGTATGTATAACTGACGCGTGCAACATGTCCCATCCACATCATATTCGTGTATTGTTTGCAGTCATAATGATCGCCTCCTCTTCTGAATCTCCAACAGAATTATGGGAGAAATATAAATCGCAAATGACTGAAGGTATCTTCCGTAGACTACGCAAGGAAAACTCAAATGTGGATTTCACAGCAGAAATCTACAACAGGGCGTTAATAATGATTGAGGACCTGTGCGTGGAAATCAAGAACAAAGTCCTCAACCAACTCGGAAAGCCATCACCAAACCGATCTGCTGCTGCTTCGTTAGATGTGGATTTGCACCGTGAGTAAAAGTGCAATACGGCTGATCTGTCGTATCTGCAATCAATCATTCCTAAGCTAACGCTGCAGCAGAATGGCATTTACGATCAAATAATGAGGACTGTTAATAACGGGATTGGGACAACCTTCTTCTTAGATGCGCCAGGAGAGGCTGGCTAAAAGTTCTGAATAAGACTGGTTCTGGCAGCAATTCAACCCAAAAATGACATAGCCTTAGCTCTTGAGTCGTCCGAAATAAGCTGCGACCTTGCTATCCGGCGAAAGAACTGTTCATTCCCCTTTGAAATTTCCGTTGAACTTGTACTTCATGGAAACTTCCTCATACATTTCTAAGGCATCCGACATAGGAAAATTACTGCAAAAATGCAACCTTATTCTTTGGGA